ATCCTCTAGTCTGCCCCCCCCCTTTTGTTTGAGACAAACAAATCAATGACATTTTCATTTCGGTATGCAATTTATCATGCTTTTTTTCAGTTGAGAACGTGGCTAGAGCGAGTAGTCTATCCTCGCGCACAGTGCTTCTTAAAAATGTCTTAATTCGGTTTAGAGTTGAGGAACATCTCTTATCTTCAACAGTAGTCTCTGAAATAGTAACAATAAATTAGCAACGGTTGGTTCATCTCCGAAAACGTAGTCTGTAATTTGTTTAATATAATAAACTGTAGAAGAAGAGTGGCACCAGTCATATTTCTAAAATCTAATTTTCTTTAAATTACTTTTAGTTCAGTTTTCAGATGATCCTACTGTAATGGAATAAACATCAGTCGCTGATATTTATTCCATTACAGATGTTTAATCCATTACATTTCAACTCAAGAATCTTAGTTTATAACTTTTCTCATACTATTGTAAGTTTAGAGCTTCGAGGGGAGAAACAACAGAGTAATGAGAAATAAGATAACATTTCTCTTTAATTTGTTTCGTGATAACATCACACATAACTTTAACTGCTACAGTTCTATTTATATGAATATTTTCTCTCGTCCTTTTTCTTGAAATTTCGTATAATTCAGATATTTTCTCTGACACTGTGTCCATTGTCTTCCTGTCTTTCTCTAATGACTACTGGAAAATGCTTACTTGCTTTCTAATGAGTGCTGTATCAGCTAGTATTTTCTGCTCCTACTCGATTTATTGCTACAATTTATTTAGCTGCTATATTTTCGCCATGAATTCAACCAGCTGTTTCCTACATTGATGCACTGTATTGACTATTCGATTCTTAAAATTCCATCTGCTAATTGAACCATGAGTTATCCTGCATATTTTCACCATCGATCACCATCTGCGATATTAATTTCTGAGGTTTTTCTATTATTTTTCCAAACTTGCTTGGGTATATTCATCTATAGACTTTATATCATGCCCGGATGAATTAGTAAATTCAAATAATCTCTCAAGCGGCTCTCCGTTACTTAAAACTTATCAAAAAACGACAACCAATGTTTTTTTTATTTTTTATTTTGAGTTAGATGTGATAAATCAGCAACACCGTAACTCACGCAACTTGAATCATCATTCTGTTTTGTGAGCAGGAGATATGGAAAACAACATAGCCTGTCTGCTAATTCACATCCACAAAACCATGAACATTTCTAATATAAATAGGGTTTGAAATCTCTAATCTTACATTTTGTTACCTGCATGAGGTTTAGCAAAGGTACTGGCGTGAGTAATTTCATTTCTGTTTTTCTTTCGAAAGACAATATTGAGAAATGTAATTGCTTTAGTTACAAAATACTGTACCAAGTGCTATCTTAACTCTTTACACCAGCTCGTGAAACGAAAAATTATAAAGAAAAAAAAATAAGAAGAAAATGGAAAAGCATAACTAACCGAATCTAGCAAACCAAGATAACTGCGAACTCCTGCACACTTAAGATTGTGCGTATGAAAATAGTATCAGTAGTGCCTTTCTCCTCCTGCTCATCTGTCTGCTTCTTTCCCCACAAACTGGTTTTTAAGAGAATTTCTTCGATCACGCAACATACTGCTCTGTGTTAAAGTATCGTTAGCTGTGTATTAGTACTTAACTTGCACTACTGCGTACCATTAGCTTGTACGACTGCTCTGTACTATAGTATCTTTCAAACCAAGAGCTATGTGTTATAGTACAGTTAGCTGCGCATTAGCGTATTTGAAAAGGTGAAAAGATGAAACTCTTCGCTGGAAATTGGCAAAAGTCTGGAAGTGTATTTAATATTATTTTATTTGATTTGTCAATAAATTTATCTCTTTGCTTTTTCTTTGGTGGTTCACGTGCTCATGCCCACAAATAGAGGAGCCGCCACTTGTCTGAAGGTAACATAGCCAATACCATTCAAAAAGCAGCTTACGAGAGAATGTCATACTGCAATTATCTCTAAAATAATGTTGAAATTAAGCGTAGAAATTTCTGACGAAATTATTAGTGAGTATAGAACTTGATATGAGGTTCAATATAGTATGTCAGCTATTTCAAAATGACTAAGCGGTTATTTCTGTTTCGGTGCATTTTACTGAAAGACATTTATTATTATGATCCTTCGTTTGTGATATGCTATGCCATTGATTCTTCCAGATTGCAAATTTTTATTGTTTTGAGCTGCTATTTCCTGCGCTAGATTCCCTTTGCACCCAGACCAGAAAGTGGTTAGTGGTGCTGACTGCCGTTCCAAAGGGCCCGAGTTCGAATCTCGGAAACGGAATGTATGTTTTTAAAACGTATAATATCTGTGCGGCATGGAGTTATTCACTCATGTGCGCCCCCGGGAATGCTGTTGTTTAGAGCTGGGGAGGAATTGAGCAATGTCGTACTGTCCCTGTATAATGCTTAAGGCTCTTGCTAACGACGGACGCATTTTTGTACTCTTTGCCGTGATAAAATTCTTTTGCTTATTCTAATTAGGTCAGGCAAATGAGATGAGCAACAACAGTAACAGATTCCCTTTAAATGTCTATTACGCTTTTAAATTTATTTAAAATTTGGACAGATGAGAATGACTTGTCGTATTGCCTGAACCACAATTCATGTCATAATAAATCTTTTACTTGAAGATTGAGTTAAACTTATTAGTTTAATGTAAACATGTTGTAATTGTTTCGAACTTGCATGTAAAACATACACTATCAAAAAGTAAATGAAAATGACGTGATCTAAATAATTATTTTGCAGGTGTTTAAAATTTTTATTGCTAAATGGTATTGTTTATTTTTGTAGCTTTTGCTAATTAGCATCATCATTATTGTTAGGTTGCTGTATGCTGTTTCGAAAGTTGCACATGTTTTTATATATACTTGTGACAGTGATTTCTAAATTAGCATCATTTTCCCCCTTTGTTCTGAAGCAGGATACTCACATAATATTCCTACTTTATAAATATATATTTACTTATGTGTGTGAGTGTGTTTTATATATATCTGTATGATATAAAATATGAAACCAAATTACCAACTTTAATTTGGCATCGTGAATTCTTACGTAATCTCGCAATACAGACACTTCTTATCTAGTCACAGGTCAAGTTACCTCTTCCGCGTTTTTGAATGCATACCCACTTTCCCTCTTTACCCTTCCTTTTGTTAGTACGTGCCTTTCGTTTTTCTGCTTCGTCCATTGACGTCTCGTACACTGCTTCGTCTAAGATGTAAATTTCAAAGAATGTAATGAAGACCGAGTGCCTTATGGACACAGTAGAATATCTGTCTTAAGAATTGTGATGAATGAAATATTATGATGTATCTATGGCCACAACCATCTGCAAGTCTCTTCTTCATTATGCATCATTCAAACTACGCTGTAAAACAACTTATCAAAGCCATTACAGCTATAGCCAAATAATCAAGATATTACAGTTACATTACATATATACTATGTATAAATGCAGAGAAAGAAGAAGAAATTTTAATATGAAATGAATTTTGAAGAAAATGAAAATAATTTTGATGATGCTCTATGTGCTTACGATAAAAGTCAGTTCTAAAAGATATATTTACAAACATGGTCTAATTACTCGTATATTTCTTCATTTTCAAGGAAATTTGTTTACACAAACCACAAGCAAAACTTTTTCATATACAAACTTCTTCTATAAATGATTAAAGCTCAAAACCAGATCTCTTATGCAAAGTTTTGGAATGGGTTATTCAGATTACGACAGAGTACAAAAGATTTAACTATTAATAGCGATATCTTTGCGGAGCCTGATTATCGCCTGATTTGTCACGAGTTTAATATCGATAGCTAATATGAACTTAGAGTTGCATATTTTTTCTTTATTTATAACTTGCTTCTTGTGGTGAAATAAAAGTTATGTGAGTACTATTCCGTTTGAGGACCGTAAAAAAATTGCAGCGAAAATGTATGCGCAAAAGCGCCAAATCTAGCGTACACGCTGATTTCAGATTGCATAAGTTTATATACTAGTTCTATATATCTTAAAACGTCATTGAAATACTAATTTAATTTTTAAATCTTTTTTTGATTTTAAACTCGTTTTTGATATCCTATGGATTTAACAATTTGGGAATTGCCCATGACGAAAAGTCTGCAATAGAATTTTGGGTAAAGTGCAGAATCACCCACTGCTTGACGCGTTTTTAAGAATTGCACATACTCGGTATCCATGTACACACCGACCTATTTTCACTTAAAAAAAATCCCAGAATTGCACAAAAATGGCACTGCGCACACCCTTGGCTTTATCTATGTACACATCGACCTATTTTCACTTAAAACGTAGAAGAAAATTGACAAAAATTCAATTGTTTTTACCCTTGTAAAAAGCGGCAAATAAATAAGTGGGAGATTCTGCACTTTACCGAGAATTTTTTCAAGAAAAAAAAAAAAAAAAGAAAGAAAGAAAAGAAAAGGCATCATTCATTATAGAAAATTATGTTTGAACATCCAACAAGATGAAATTATGCTTTAGAGATAACTCGGTAGCGAAATAGCGATGCAGGCATCCATTCCGTTATGTTTAGAATTTTTTATATAAATTATAATAATAAAAAAGTATTATATGAAATTAACCTTTCATCTAAATTAAAACATCAATCTCATATAGTTATTTACTATTACACGTCCTTTCTTGCATTAGGGTTGCCGCAATTATTTTTGGCAGGACTGGCATCAACAATAGTTTGGCGATTTTTTGCAGCCCTCAAAACCGAATAGTACCGTTCTTTGATTTTAATCTCCGCTTTGCTTAGATCTGGCTTTTATCACCGCGATAACTCGTCAATATTTCTGAAGTAACTCACGATCCGTTAGGTGAAACATCTTTAAAAAAAACTAAGTATAAAAAGTTTCAAGCAGCTCTACTTCAAATTAATTTTTAAGATACACACAGATGTATTCATCATTGCGTCATAAACAGAGATTCATGACTCAGCAAACAGCACAATATCAGTGGTGCGTAAATTTTAATTTATTTGAATTTATTTTACAGATAATTTTCATCAATTTCACCATCTTTCAAAACTTCTACTCGTTGACCTAAAAATAATAAAATAAGCATCGTCACACATTATGTATTTCACATTATATATGGATAATATGAACACGAAAAACAAGCAGCATAACTATAAATCCAAATTATTATTTCAAAACATTTTTAAAGTGTAGAGATATTACATTTTACATTACTGAAGTAGTGATTAAGTAAATCATAAGAACTTGCTTCTTTAATTATTTTCTAGCAATGAAACTAATAAACTCGAAAAACAGATAATTTCATTTTAGGATAACTAAATAATAGATTTTTTTCATATAAATAATAGATTTTTCATTGTTTAAAACGTTGTTTTGAATATTCCATAATCTCACGAAATTTTATTTTTTGTAAATATATTATCAGAAATTTATACGTGCTAAATTTAAAATTAATACTATTAACTAAATTATTCAGCATAAAAATATATTTTAAATACATTTTAGAGCAATTTTTCCATTTCGTTAATAGCTATTGAATGAAATTTCTTTTGTGTGAAGCAGAGTTCAAATTCTTTCAATTACAGAATGGATGAATTCTACAAGAAACATTTTCCATTCCAATAGATCCTTGATTATTCAAATTAGTATGAGTTGATTTTGAATATCACTTCTCAGAAAACAAGTTATTTTCTGATTTCCTGTGATAAGATTGCATCTATTGCTTTTAACTATTGCTTACTATTAAGTAACACATTAAACTTTAAAAGTATTGCATGTGTTTTTAAAGGTCATTTAATCTAAGAAATAAAATCTAATAAATTAATTTTTATTCCATGATAATAATCTTAATCTTTAATTATATTTCCTTACTATTCCATGAAAGGTAATCTTAATATTATATCTAGCATCGAGCATATCGAGCATAATTCTTAGATCAGTCTTGCTTATTATTTTTAAAACTGAAATATGTTCAGAGTTTTAATTTTTATTTATTTAAAAGAGAATTGAGTTATTGGTACCTAAGTTTTTACATGAAAGCTTTACATTCTAATGTAATGATAATAATAATAATTATATATATAATGTATTGGCCCACCTTAGTCAGAATAACCTATTAAAAATAATTTCTTTTTAAACTAATTTTAAACTAAAAACTGCACACACACATATAAAGATATATATATATATATATATATAACACAATTAAAATTGAAAGTGAATGAAATGACATGCGCTAAAATCCGCAGTATATAAAATAAATGTTAATATAGACCAAAAGACCAAAAATAACTTAATTATAATAAATAATATAAATATAATGTCGTACTGCATCAGTATATCATACATCAGTGCTGTACTTTTATATTTTTATTGCATATTTATGGTTCCCTTTTGCTCAGTTTGGCAACATGCAGCTATTTTTTCGTATTCAAACTTATCATTTTATCAATAAAATTTCTTTTGCAATTTTCATCTTGTTATCAATCATCAGTCTTCACATGTTTGGAAATTCCGGTAGGAAAGGTCCATATCATTTAATAATAAATTGGCATTTTAGTTTTGAATTTTCCGTTTGAAGATTTGAATGTTCATTGATGCGTACGAATATGGAACATCTAATTAACATTTTAAGCTAAAGGATTTTTAATCTATTGCAATTACGTGAAAGAAGAGATACATACCACATCTTTTTCTTTAAAAACATTTTTGACTCTATAAATATCCACCATATCCAAGACTGCCTCCATATCCACTGCCATAGCCGCCGTATCCACCATATCCAAGACTGCCTCCATATCCACTACCATAGCCGCCGTAACCTCCCAGTCCGTAGCCTCCATAACCGCCTCCATAACTGCCGTAGTCTAGCCCATAACCTCCATATCCATGTCCTTGGGCTTTTCTGAAGTATCTGGTACTAATTCCATGTCCATGTCCATGTTTACTGTAATGGGGAATAACGTCAACGTAGGAGCCATAGGCAACTGCTGCCAGTACTAAAACAAGGAGAACCTGACAAGCAGAAAATTGTAAGTAATTAGAAATAGGCAGTTAAAGTAATAAAATGAAGTTCGATTGTAAATAGTTAAATTCCACCCAATGCTTTTGGTGAGATACAGAGTCTAGTAGTCAAAATTGAAACAGAAGTTTACGTCACATTAAGTGCAAGAGATATCTGTAATATTATGATATATTGCAGAATTTAAATCGATGTAATTTAATTACACAAATTTTGAAGTTGCGAAATTTTTGTAAATAATGAGCTGAAAAAAACACCAGATGTAAACCAATATTGTAATAATTCATTTTTCCCAGGTTAACCTCGCATCCTTTGATATTTTTAAACATTTTTAATCATAGTTTTCTCCGTATTGCTCTATGTCAATGTTTTCTGAATCTCCCCAGTTTTTATTAAACTCCATTAGAACTCTAAATACATTGGCAACTGAAATCAAAAGTCATTTGGATTTGCTTCCTATAAACCCTGCCATTTGGCTTAACTTCTGATTGTTACTTTAAACGCAAACTCAGTTTAGATTATTTGTTAGTTCTCTTTGTATTTAATCCTCTTTGTATAATTCTACAAGTGTCAGAAGATTTAAGAACTTCGAATTATCGCTTTATTTGCTATCAACAATCCTCTTTTCTTTTTTTTTTCTTGTTATATTCAACTTATTTCTGAAAATGGAAAACTAATAAATCTTGTTAAGTATTTTACCTTTAAATCCCCTAGATTTATTATTGAATTCAGTTTAAATTATTGAGAGAGAGAGCATTAATTTTCTTGGAATCAGTGCATTAAATACTGCTTTCAGGAGAAAAAGCAATTCTCAAATTAACCATTTCAGAAAGTAAAAATGACGCTTTTCTTAGTTATGTTATTCGTTTTCATTCCCTTTAACTTCTAGTTAAATAAATGACACATTTTTAAATCGTAGCTAGAGTCAAGAAATGATGAAAGTCATTGCTAATACATTTACTGTCTTGTTGCATCTACATTTTGGATACGTTTATACGTAAATTTGATGTGATAAATTGTCCAACTGAACATTAAATGAGTAAGAAATAAGGATATAAGTGATAAAGAAATGAAAAAAATATAGATTTTAGGAACAGAGAACGCGCAAAAGTAACTAGACTATCTCTCCAATTCCAGCCACCGATCTTTTGACTGCTAGCCAGCCGTGTCGCCACTTACATTACAAGAACGCGCATGAGATAAGAAGATAATTTCTAATAATATAAACAAACTCGGAATATTCTGTGCAGTTCTTTTATAGACTAGGAAACAACATAATGACATCGCAACGTTTGACAGTTAAAAAAATGTTCAAACAATTCTAGTTTATATTGGAAAAAAATAATCTTTGTTACATTCCCAAACGAACTCGATAGAGTACAGAAAGGAGTCTTTTTGTTGGTAGAACGTTTTTCTATCAACCGCTAAAAATAGGACGCGATGTATGTACCCATAATTTAAAATTAAAGATTCTCTTGGGGCATAAATGTTTAATATATTTCTCAAAATGATATGGATTTGCAGACATTTTGCTAAATTTTTGCTAAATGTTGAACAGAAAACGACTGGAGATAGACTGGTTTGCCTCTTCTACGTCTACCTCTACCTATACCTCTCTTTAACTTTTTATGTGTTTCATGACTTCATAGAAATTTTTCACGTAGTGTACTCAGATAGCTTCAGTTGTTTCCGAAGAGATAAGTAGATAGTAAAACTAAAAATATTTATTTGGAAAAATTTCAAGACGTAATTTTTAATAACATGAAATGTTTTCTTTGCGCATGAGCTTAAGCACAAGAAAAATTACTTTACTTTTCTCACAAATAAATGAAAACGTTTAATTTGATAATTAATTATAAAAAAATTATATATTCTGAAGAGATTCCTAACATTAGACTTCTATTAATGCTGTGAAATAATGCAAGTGTATAAAATATAAATCTTACCACAGCTTTAATCATTTTGAGACGTTTGGCGGTTTAACTGTAGATTTCAGCTATAACAGATCGTAAATTGAACGCAGCGTTTATATATTATGTTTATGCTACACTTCATTAAGCACACACCCTGTTTTCCAGACGAGATATTCGAATAAAAATAGGAATTATGACAGAGTGTGCTTAATTCATTCATTTTTTTATTCTGTTTCATTGTCAAGTGTTGTAATAGTTCACCTCTTTTGTTCTAACGTTACACCTTTGAATTCCCCTTTTTTTTCATTCCTATTTTTTTCGAAATATTGCGATTAACTTTTACGTTGCTGGTGTGTGTACATATTTGCTCCAGTTTTAAAACAATGTTTAACTAGTTTCAATGTTACTAAAAAGTCTTCTCTTGTGCCCATTTAATGAAGTATTTTTAATTAAAACCAACAACATTTATGCTTTCTTCTGACGATTAACTGCTCATCAGGTCACAGAGCTCAATCTGTGCTCTGTAGTAATGTTGCAGATCGAATTGCAATACATGGCTGCAGCAGGAATTTTACCGCTTAAGTGCCCATGTATAACTTAAACACTAACTATTTTTCTTTCTAAATCCTCTTCGAAGGCAATCTTTTGCGTTTGGCGCATAGTCTTTGTGTGATTTGCCATAACAAGCAAACAGAAATGATGATTATTTCGATATGTACCAAATTCTTTATAATATTAATTAAAAATTTCCTTTAACGTCATTTAATAGATAACGCATGTATCACTGATCACTGATCGATGAAGTATTTCATCTTTTTTTTTTTTTCAGATGATATTTTACTACAAGTCAAATTTTAGTTTACTTTGTTGTTTCTGTTAGGAGAAATAAAACACGAAATGAAATAAAACACAAAAGAAAAAGGCATCTTGCTGTTTACTTTCCACGAAAATTCAACCATTAGGGTAAAATAAGAAAATTAGAATTTATTACTTAATTTAGTATATGATACAATTTAAGAATTATAAATTCAATCGGTATTGTTACTTTTATTTGAAAGGGCTGTGATTTCTAGTATGGGTATGCATTCATACTTGAAAATGCATATATATATAGTTGGGAACGGGAAATTAGTTTTCAAATTAAAGATTCTGTACTAACAATTGAACTCTTTGACACACCTATAAAATTAGTTCAGTTAGTACATTACAGTAATTGGTTTTAATACCAAGTCAGTAAATTATTAATTTACTTATATAGTCAGTAAATTATTAATTTACTTATATTTACTTATATATTAATTATAATTAGACCTATAGGGGTGCAATATAATAATTGTGGAGTATTATGGTTCGAAACTGAAAAACGCATACTAAAACTAGTTTTAAGGTAATATATCTGAAACTATATCGTATTCATTAGTTATGAAACTCACTTATAAATTTAAAATTCTAATCTTGTGAACTGCATTCAGTAATTTAAGTTATCATATTAAGTATTTCCGAGAACAATATAAAGCGGTCTTCTGCTCTATGAACGAGTGGCCGAGTGGATAAAACTGCTAGACAGAGGTAGATTGAACCAAGTTATCAGTTCAAATCCTGGTAAAGAACTTTGCAGAATGAGAGGTTTTGTAGGTTTTCCTATGAGTAATGATAATAAAACACAATTTCTATTCGAAAGTCGTCCAGAAAAGTATCTCTTTTATTTAGGCGTATGGTCTTCTTGTGCTATGTGTTCTGTAAAACAAATAAAGAACAAACTTCTGTTAAATGTTGAGACAATTCATTCATCGTTACATATACTTTTTCATAAGCGTAACGTTTTTTAATCAATTAAGCTTTTATTTTAACATCACGAATCAACTAGTAAACAAAGAAAATTAACTCAACTTATTAAACCTTAGACGAATAGATTAATATAAACATCAATTTTTAAAAGAAGCATTTCATCCAATTACGTAACTCGAATAATTAATATCATTCAGATCGCATTCCCAAGTTCGAAACTTGCGAATCTCAATAATAAATAAAAATTATCTATGCAGTTAGTAAACTAATTTGAAACCATGTACTAAATTGAATTATCGGTAAGAAATTTGTAGTTCCTTTAGCAGGACTCAAATCCTGGTCTTTCCATTATTAGCCTCATAACATGGACATTAAACCCCAAGAGCGAGCTCGTAAGGGGAATAAGAGAAAGTTCTTTTTTTTTTTTTTCTTGCATTATCACACATTTAAATGGCGACTGAAAAAGCGGCGATCCCTCACAGATAATGTTGTGAAGAGCACAAAGCAAGAATGAAGCAATTACTCATTTTTCCTTTATATAGTGGACGTCTAGAGAATAAGGATAACCTGAACCAAAGAATTCAAGTTGATCCCAAATTATCGACCATCATTTTTATTTATTGCGCGAGTGCTAAGACGTTAAGAGCTAAAGGAGTGAAGATAATAATATTAGTTCACCGTACACTCGCCGGAAATCGGACCTGGTCTTCAGGTAACCGATATGTTGAACATGAAGCACATATAAAAGCATATAAAGGTACACAAGAGAAATAGTTTTCATTAGTTGCATAAAAATACCATGTGGAAAAAAAATCTTATATTGTACCTTTTATCATTATTTTTCTCCTGTTTTTTTTTTTTTTTTTTTTTTTTTTTTGTTAATATTTTACTTATGTATATTATAAGTAAATATATATTATCGGTGATATCGAATATATATATGTGATATTAATTAACACAATTTTTATGTTGATCAAATGTATCTTTTTGCATGGTTGCTTTAAAATTTGGCATTATATTATGTTTTAAGACTGCAACAAGCATTTGTTTGTAATTTATGCAAAACACAAATGTGTATTTACAAAATTTTAATGTAATTTGAAAATCAGGTCGTGACTGTTTTTTAATGTTTTGAACTAAAAATCTTCGGCAACTCATAGTTCAGTCATTAAGAGAAAAATAGTAAATGAGCAGGAATGAATTATTACATAACTAGTAAATTGTAATAATATAAAAGCAAAATGAGAAAAACAGGAGTTTGGATAGATGTATATGCATGCTTAATCATGTGATTAATTAGTTAATACCATGTTGAAACACTCTAGATAATTACTAGACTATTACATAAAGTGCCCAAAGGGGGCAGTAATTGACATTAGCCTCCCGAATATTTTCAACGTCGTTTACTCAGTGAGTGAGTGAGTGACGGAGGACGTGGGCACTGTTCCTTTACCATAGTGGTTAATCAGTACAGCACCATGTCCACCATTATCCACAGCGTCCGATATGTTTCGGTGCTATTCAGCTGTCCGGGCCACAGTAATTATTGAAATGAAAGAGAAACATAAGAACATGGTCATATATGGCCGTTTGTGACATGCTAATTTTACATCCAATACATTCAAATAATACTAGATTAATAACTCTGGAATATAAGTATATATAAAAAAATGCATAAATACTTTGTTACATAAATACTTTACATTGTGTTAGATAACGAACACTTGCGATTACAGTATACTCTTCACTTAGGCACCATAGCTATATATACATTACTTTGCATTAATATATATCACTTGCGATTACAGTTACTCTTGACATAATTCAAGTAACACAAACTTATTTGAACTACTTGCTACAACCTACACACTAGCTTGTTAATACAGTGAGCTAAATTCACAGAATCTACTTATATATTAAGCTTGACATTGTATTAAGTATATTATACATTAGATATACATTATTATTAAACCCAGATACAGACAGAACATGAACTTTTACATTAGGTACAATATACATGATTTAAATACACTTTACTTGATTATGAGTGTGCTATACATATTATACTTGTTACTCATTCGTGAGGTAAATAGATGCGCTATACTTTCTGTTTATTTTACCATTGATACTCCTATTTTATACCATTTTCCGTTACATTATATATGCTATGCATTTCTACGTTGAAAACACATTTAATATTAAACATTCAGTTCTAAACATTCCATACTATAAATTCTACTTTACTGTTACCATTATGCATCTGATACTTTCTATTATTAAAACATATTTATAGATTACAATAGGTATGCTAAGCATTATCTGTCTAAATACGCATATACACTCCATTATATGTTACAAAAGAGTGTCACGCTATTACAAATTCAGTACATTTAAAACTATCTGAATAGCACTGTACTTGCTGAAGTGTTAATAAAATGTCCGTCACATTAAGTCACTACTGTGGAGATATTTTTAACTTATGAAAATTAGATATCTTGGGTAATTATGTCACCTGACATAAGTTAATCCCATTGTTGAATAATAAGTCCATCATTTTCATGATTTTCCTTGCGAGATGCTTTAACTAAATACTTTGCGATGGCTTGAACATTGGTTGTGGGCATTTTTATATGATACTCTCTTGTCAGAAGGCATGTAGTTAGATAGTGTTCGGGCGTTCCCGTCTCGCCACAGATACATATATCCGTGTTTGTAATACCATGACGTTGAAAATAGACAGGAAACGGCCCGTGCCCTGAGATAAATCTGACTAGTTGCGAGCTAGTGACTTGTCATACAGGATTTACATAGGACATGTGATAGTACGTTCTCCTACCGGTTGTATCAGTGTCCCATTCTTCTTGCCACTTGGAGAGAATTTTTAAGTTAATTTCTCGCTTCAAGTGGGAGAGTGGCCAGTCTATACTGAGCTGCTCAGCATCCTTATTACTTGCTGCTTCCTTAGCCAGTATGTCTGCACTTCATTTCCTGCATTGCCCGCGTGTGCTTTTGTCCATACTAGGTGGATTTTTTGATGAGAACTTTCGCGAAGAGTTTGTTGTATCTTGTTTATGATCGGAGAGGGCTGTTTCACATTTTTGATGGCATGTAGAACAGAGAGGCTGTATGTGATAACAGTGGCAGTGGTAACTCCAGTAGTATTGATGTAGGCTATGGCTTTTGCCAATGCTGTACCTTCGGCCTGGAACACACTATTGTTATCGTGCATGTGTCCCTTCCATAGAAACTTCTTTGCATCGTTCTTGTAAACTACCAGTGCGCAGCCCGTGCTGTTATCTAATTTGGAACCGTCTGTAAAAATCTTGAGAGCAGTAGCAGGTGGGTGCTTGTCTTCTTTTAGGTAGATATTGACACCCTGTCCCTGCTGGGATGGGTGTAGTTCTAGATGTTGCAGTGGTGTCTCATAGTCCGTTGGGGAGTAATTTATTTCATCCAGAAAGGCAGCTCGTTGCAGCTGCTTTACCTTCTGAATGGTAGCTTCCTGCAGGGCTTTGAGATGTAGTGGGACTATTCCTGCAAGGACGTTGAGTGCGTTGGTTGAGGTGGTACGATATGCCCTCGTCATGGCCAGTGTAAAGGGACGTTGCAGGCTTTGCAGGTGCTTTATTTTACGTCCCTGCATTGGAATAGCCCAGACCACTGCTGCATAGGTTGCAATTTTTTCGATTACTGTTACAGAGTTTTTAGTATATGTGGGTTCAGTCCCCACGGATAACCCTGCATCTGTCTAAGTTTGGCAGCTATTATTGTAGTCCGTTTTTTTTTTGTTTCTATCACGTGCTGGATCCAGTTTAATTTTTCATTGAAAATTAACCCCAGGTATTTAAGCTGTGGTGTGATTTTAGTCTGCTGCCATTTAAAGTGATTCTGGGTCTCCTGGCCAGTGAGCCACCCTTTTTTGGGAATTAAGAGAGCCTGAGACTTCTGATCGGCAATTTATAGCTTGATGGTTGTGCATAGTTTATAGAATTTTTCACAGGTTTCCGTAGGGTGTCATTGGAGCACGTCTCTTGTTCTCCCTTTAACAATGAGAGCCGCGTCGTCTGCGCAGGCAAATATTTGAGTGTGCTCTGGCCAGTCTGCCTTCAGAATGCTATTGAATGTTAGGTTCCATAGGTCAGGACCGGCACATGAGCCTTGGAGCACACCCTCTGTTATGTAGCTTGCTGACGACGCAGTTGTTACTTACATAAATTAAGCTTCGATCAGAGAGATAGCTGTCAAATAGCCTAAAAATGTTCTTGGGACACTTAGAGTCGTTTAATGCTGCTCGAATGCCTGGCCACCACAGTGTGTCAAACGCATTTTTCAAATCTATGCGAATGAAGGCACTGTGGTAGCCGCTGTTTCTGTTTTTCATGATGGTGTCTTGAATATTTGCTAGCACATGTACAGTTGAGCATTTTGGACGGAAGCCATACTGTCTATCATTTAAATAATCTGTGTAATGAAGGTGGTGCTTTAAACGGCTTACATTTATTCTTTCATATACTTTGCCCAGGGCGGACAGGAGACAGATCGGACGGTTTTCGTCCGAGGAGGGAAGTTTCGGATCTTTATTTTTCTTTAGAAATAGGACCACGTGTCCAACTTTAAAGGCACGAGGGAAAATGCCTATTGTTAGAAGCTTGTTAAAATATTCTAAGAAGAATTGAAGGCTTGAGTTAATGGTGACGTGGATGATAGTATAATCTATGTCGTCTGGCCCTGGTGCCCTTTTCTTTGGGAGATGACGAAGAACTGTGCGAAGTTCATCTAAGGTGATTTCCGCATCATCAGCCGTTTCAGGGACGGTGTTCGCATGCCTTAAATTTGCTTGCATAGGGGTTCTTCTGAAATGTCATCAACAGGGAAGACTGCATCAAGAATATTTTGGATTGTGCATTCTGTTGGACTTTGATTGCTGGGCAGAGTATCTGATATATACAGCTGCATAGGTTTGAATAATTTATCCATAGCAATTTTTGATGAAGACCATAGATATCTCTATTATTGCTACAATATTGTCTCCAGGTGTTAATCTTCGAATGTATGATTAATCTTTTATAAATGGCTCTCTCTCTTTGGAAGATTACGAGAGTATTAGATTGTATGCCTTGTTTCCTTTCTTGCTTTAATTTCCTCCTTAGGACCCGGCATTTCTTCTGCTGGATCCTAAGGTCACTGTTCCACCAGTTAAGTGAATGTAGTTTTTCGTACTTCGTTGTGGGAGTAACTCCTTGCAGGTATCTTGGATGCCTTTAATTATGGCATCTGTGAGGTCTTCGAGAGCTTCTGGGGTGTGGGTTGAATAAAGATGGTCTTTGAGAGAGAGTAGCTTGTTATGCATGTTCTTGCTGAGTTTCTTAATTTTCCGGCCTGGTGAATTAAATCTAAGGATTACCGGGACCGTGGTATGTTCTGCAATTTCAAAGGTGATGTATTTGTGGTCGGAGAGACTGTCTTCACGGACCACCCAGTTTTGTACGAGATGAACTGTCTGTACTGTAGCAATAGCTAAGTCGGGCCATCCTCTAGCGAAAATGCGATCGAACGTCGGAGTTATATCGGACGTATTAAGAATGACTAGATTTTTAGATGATATGTAGTCTTCCAATAGCCGTCCTTTGGGATCAGTAGTTGCATATCCCCAATTGGTGCTGTGAGCATTAAAGTCCCCACAGTGGAGCTGGTGTGCTGAACCTGCAGGTAGAGTAGTGGCATCCAGAAAAGCTATTGTTGCTTCGAGATCGTCAGTGGGGCTGGAGTAAATGGAGGTGAGCATGATGATAAAATTTTCCACCTCCAGTAGAATTGCTACTTGATCTCTGGTAGCTGCCAGGATCGATGGAGACCAGTTGGGATTACAATTTACTATAGCCTCTCTTGGTGGCTCTAAAATATCCTCTTTCTGGAAGATGGTCCAGGTTAAGGGGAATCCCGCAACTCTGCCATTTCTTGTGTATGGTTCTTGTATGAAAATTAAATCAGCATTGTTGGCAATTGCAAATTTTCTGACTTGCGCCATTGCTGCTTGGGCCTTCTGAAGATTTACTTGTATGCATTGTATGTTACCTGCCATTACCCGCTTAGTGAGATTTATTGTACCTTTACTCATATGATATGAGGCTTCTGAGTCTGGCCACGTGTGATTGATAACTGCTGCAGTCTCTTGCGTATGCTGGGTGTTCTGATGGTACATTGATGCGTCTGTAGAAATTGAGGTCCAGGCAGTGATACAGCTTGGGTGTTTGGCTGTACAGCTTTTAATATCATGGGGCCCTGTGCAGTTTGCGCAGTACTGCTTACTTTTGCATTCCTTTTGAAGGTGGCCAAATCTTTGGCATGCAAAGCAGCGTTTGATGGCAAGGTATTCTGTGATACTATGTCCGTGCCAGCCAATGTACAGTTTTGGGTTGCGCATGATTGTTGTAAATGCTCCTGGGCTGCATTCTGCGATCAATTTGATATTTTTGCGTTGCTTAAGTCGATAAAGCAGTTTAATGTGTTGCTTGCTTAAGCTGTATTCTGATCCGAATGCTGTCTCTAAGTCCTCCTTTGTGAGATCTGGTGAAATATTGTTAATAGCTATCAAAGGCTTACTTTTGGTAGGGTGTTTTATGCTGACGAAATTAGCCGCCTTTTCTGTATTGAGTGTTTTTGCCTACCTTCCTCAGATTGGCAAACTACAGAGAGTCCTCCTCTCTGAATGGGTCTAATTTCAGAGACAGGAACACCTATTTCTGAAAGAGGAAATTCTTTAGCTAATTGTTCTTTTAATTTGCGGTTTGATAACTGCTCCTTTGGATAAACTAGAAGTGTTGGTTTTGAGGCTGTGTTTACTGAATTTTGTTGTAAGGCCGCGGCGTATGAAAGGTTGCCGGGTTGACTAAGAGAAGGAACAGTTGTTAACTCGTGATGCTGCTGTTTACCTTGGTGATTTTGGGAATGATCGTGTGCAATCTCTCAACAGAGGATAGTGGAGGTATTTACACCTTGATCAGTTTTGTCAGGTTTTATTATGCGCTCCGGGCTCTCTACTGCCAGCTTATGGAGAGCTTCAAGTGGATTTAAGAGCTGCTCCCTTAGGTCTGTAGGGAGAAGATACTTATTATCACGACAAGTGGTGGAAACCCTTCTGATATTCTCGTACAGAAGTCCTACTTTCTCTTGCTAGAAGCGAGATGTGATCTAAATCAATCTTTGAACTTGCCGAGGCTCTGTAAGTGGGTAGAGTAGCTTGGCGTGACATGGTATGCAATTAAGACGACAAAGACGATTCCTATGTACCAGAAACAGATGTGTCTCCAGACATTAATAATTAAGGGGTATGCGGTAAATATCTTAAATAACAAGCTGGTAGAAATAAATCAGTAAACACAGTTGATTAGCCTAACCAGTTAGATACAATAAGTGATATTCATATTCCATAATCACAGTATGAATAAGAAAAACTATGAACATCAGCATTAACAAAACTCAATATAGTGATCAGGATAAGCAATATTAATTGGTAAAATATACTCAGTACAGCAATAAGTTTGTTAAAAATATACACAGTACAAAAATTCACGCATCATGTTATTCATATAAAGTAATTTAAAGTACGCTAGATGAGAGATGGTAGTTGAATTAGGAGTTAAGCTTAATTAACGTAATTAGCATAATTAGTCAAATGCATAAACTCTTTACAGATCGCTATTATGAGAAAAATGAATGAATGCAGTAGATTTCAAGACTGCTTAATTTACTACGGTTACCGGCTATATTAATTAATTATTAGTGAGATGCACTGCTAATAAATTAAATTAACATGAAATAAAATAGTACTATTAATAATTGTCCTGTTCATATTACACAAGAACATAGATGATTGAGCTGAAAGGAACTGCAGTCACTATTAATTTTAAATTATGAGATGATGTGAGTTAGTCAGTAGGTGAAATTATTACAATTTAGTTATTGATGGCGCTAGTTAATAAATTTGCCATGAATAAATCCTACCTTGGGTGCAATATTTCATCAGTTGTTCTGTAAGATGTGTAATCCATTAAATAAGGCACATAAATACACACACACTGTAAATATTGTCGCGTTAACACTGAATGCGTTGATAGCACCGGACAAACACAAATTTTCATAAGTCCGGAAAATGTAGAATAAATCTGTATCTCCTGTAGTACTTGGCCCATTTCTTCCAAATTTAGAAACCTGGAATTCCTGAAGCTCAAAATGAGAGATGCTGCTGGTACTGGCGCGCTTCGCCAGTTAGGGGCTTAATTAACAGCTTGTATAATTAGGTCCCACTACCGTACTTCTCCTTTGTGGATTGGGTGGAAATCGGACTCGACAGGGGTCGTTGATAACCGACTGACCGTTGGAGCTGGCAAAATGTCAAAGGTCACTGTAAAACGTTCTAATACATTTAAAAATTAATTGCTCTCCTTCTAATTATCGCATGGATATGCAAGTACCACCAAAATACTCGTAATGAAATGAGAAATCCAACGTTATAAAATACCAGGCCCGTCGTTGAAAAGCGGCTGTCAGGAGGTCTTCGAAAGGTACGTGATAAGACTTATTCCGTCATTCAATGCGTTGACGAAGTAATTAGTTCATAATTAATTAATCCTTGATCCGATCTTGAAAAATTTTATATGTACGTATTCCTGAAGATGTTGACAACACAATGCAAGTGTTTTTAGTTTGCTGCACGCAGTAGTTCCGTTGTTGCTGAAGTAAATACCGGAGCGGCGAGGGGACAACCTTCACGTGCGTAAGCTCAAGCCGGAACCCTTTTACTCAGTACAGGCAAATAGTATCTTCGTGTTATAATATGAATTATATGTTTCTGAATATACCAATATTATGTAAATGACCTTTATGCAATCTGCCACATTGAGTGCGCTGTATATTTATTACCTATAACCCTTGTTTATTATGAATAAGCTGAAAGCTTCATCTAAAACAACTATATGTATTATAAAAATATTTTATGCTATTATATATTCGGAGATATTAATTTTTAGGTAAAATTATAAGGCTGGATAATAATTTTCACTATGATTCTAGTAATGCAGACTTGTTAATTTCGGATAAGAATCGAAAGCATGTGATTAAATTGTACTGCTTGAGTTGTTTAATTAGTATATGTGAAAAACATTCTATACAGGTTAATGCAAGTAACAGTCAGTTTAAAGATAAATCCAATGTAAAATGTATTTTCTAATTATTTAGGATATGAGATTATTCAGTTTTTTAAAGCATTTTGCAGCAGAATTTTGAAATAGCCCTTCAGTGAGTTTGATCACTATTATTTTATATTAACATTAATGTGAAGAACGAGAATAATTCTTGGAACTGACAAGTGGTTGTCACTCAGCATATTGCTGCTTAAATTATTAACTTTTTTCCCTATTAAACAATATCATGCAGTGGTGTGCATTTGATTCACTAATATTGTATTTTTACCAGTTTCTCTAAGATAAGTGATTTATTACAATAAGTTACACAGAGGATTCAGTTTTAGCCTGATTTCTATATTTTCTTTTGTTTCTGCTTCAATTTTTAGACGGTTTATTCTATTTACTCAATTCTGGCAAGCAAGTAACGTAATTTGAACACAAGTAAAACCAATTAAAAGTAATGATGTCTTTTATTGTTTTTTTGAAAACTTCATTTGCGTCATAAACTAAATCTGTTAGTAAAGAAAATAATCGCAGTCTAAAAGAAATTCGAATAATCAAGTGTATGTATTATCTAACGTCTCTAGTCATCTGCATTTTAGTTATTTTTTGGTATAAATTAAAAGCGGTTGAGAGTTATTTTCTTATCTGCCTTTTATAAAAGCTGATTAATGGCTTGGCAGAAATTTCATGCCGTTTTCAATACTTTCCAAAATGAAGTGTTATACGTCTAAGGCCTGTAGCATTTTCAAAATGAAAACATAATACCTATTTAGGCTCTATTATGGGTAATAAAAGTATTATCTATTATGGGTAATAAAACCTCTTCAAAAATGGCAGAGAAAATTTTAATTCGATAAAATTGACACAGATGTAATATTTGGAAGACATTAAATATATGGCTAAATTTTAACTACACCGGGTGTAGTTTTGGTAACATGCACATTAAAGGTTTAAAACCCTCACTTTAAAACCTCTCCAACTTGTTTTCAACTTAACTAAATTTTTGATTCTTTGCCTTGAGAATGCTTCGTTTGCAAACAGAGTTTCTTCAGTGTTAACGATAACGCTCTTGCAATTGAACCAGCGCTGCCCTATAAGCTTAGTTTTGTATGAAATAGCCTTCGCTTGTGAGAGAAAGCTGTAGGATTTTTTCTCTCTCCACATGACTTCGTGGTGTAGTTGGAAGCATAGTCGACTCGCACTCGAGAGGTCTAAGGTTCCGGTCCTGACGGATACACATTCCTCACCTCTGCTGTTTTAAAAAAAAAAAAAAAAAAAAAAAAAAAAACCAATGACTCTAAAAAGTGGCTATTTACTAATGTTCCAGTGGAATGCGTTCTCAAATATCTAAAAGCAAGATTTCACGAATTTCATTTGTCATATATCGAAACTGAATAGTTAATTTTCCTTAATCAACTTTGTTTGAAAAAACAAATTTTACTTTTTACAATAAATGTTACTATTAAACTGTTAGATTAGTCTCGGGAAGAAATCTTCGTCCTATTCTTGCGGATATACATTGATATTGTATATGCAACAATTGATGATATTGATGATTCTTGCTTGTATATTTTTAATATTCATCTGTATTAAGATATATGAATATATATATATATCAAAGATTGACATAAATATATGAGTTAATCGTTATAAATTGTATAATACTTGCGCAAAAACTGCAAAATAATAATTTATTTACTAATGGATTACTGAGTCAATTATCTCCTTTGAGAAAGATGGTAGAAATATGAGCAAATGAGCATATAAAGAGTGATACTAAATTGTTTTTACAAATTAACAGAAGTGTTATGTATTAATTGTTATTATTTTCAAACTTTAAGTTTTTGCTTACTTAATTCAGTTCTGATCAGTAATTGAAGTTATTAAATTTTTGCTTTCCTTTGCTTAATCTTTGAAAATTTGTAAATATAACGCTGATTTTTGTTGTTTGACCTCTGAATTAGTAATTTTGCTTTAGTTCTTTAAAGTTGGTTGTAAGTTTAAACTGTAACTT